GGGCCGGACTGGGCCACGCCGCGCCTCCCAGGAGCCCTCCTCGCGCCCCCCCCCTTACCTGTTGCTGCCGCCGCCTGCTCCTGTTCAGACTTCCCGCGCACATCTGATTTGCGGGAAGCAGGGGAGGGGGAGGAACAGGGGGCGGAGCATTCAGGGGAGGGGAGGAGGGGGAAGTGAGCTGGGGGCGGAGTGGACAGCTGCGGGGCCCTCTTAGGCGCGGGGCCCAATTCAGCCAAATCGGCTGAATCGGCTTAAAGCCAGCCCTGGCTCCTAGGATGTATCTGGATGGCCTAAACAGGCTGGTGCCAGACCTAACTCTCTTCCTTCTAGCTTATGTTATTGCACATGTTCCTGCTCCAAAATAAGCCTGTCAGTTGCAAGTCCTGGACAGAAGGCAGAGGACACGAGCCTTCTTACCTCAGTGGCAAGGGAGTGGGGATAGCTCAGTGGTTTGAGCATTGGCCTGCTAAACCCAGGGTTGTAAGTTCAATCCTTGAGGGGGCCACTTAGGGATTTGGGGTAAAAAAAATCAGTAGTTGGTCCTGCTAGTGAAGGCGGGGGCTGGACTTGATGACCTTACAAGGTCCCTTCTAGTTCTAGGAGATGGGATATCTCCATTAAGTTAAAATTCTTGTAACCTCCCAAAGGATTGGCTTTGAGTTCTCAGCTGCTTATGCGGCATAGGCTTGTCTTATGGGATAACTTTACATTGGAGTCACTGCAGTGTTGTAATAGGGCTATGTCCCAAAACCTCACTTTAGAATCAGCTGATCCCTTATATATGGGGAATCTTCCTATTTTAGGATCAGGCCTATCTGAGCTGCACTGAGACTGCACAATGTAGTGGACATCTGTCCCTGCTCCAAATAGGAGTACTTAAGAGACATGGGTCTTCTGCACTACTGGGGTGGGGGGAGGGTGCTGAAGGAACTCTCATGTCAAATTTCTCCTGCCACCTCCATGCTATCTCCACAGATGAGTTTGGGACAGCCTTCGAGGTTACTAACTGCTCCATCTGCCTCCACTGGGTCACATCTCCCCAGGAAGGGGCGGTGATCTTCTCAGCAGGCTACAATGGCTGTCATGTGCTGAAGAAGGTGAGTTTCTGCACCTCTGACCTCCATGGCATCCTCTGTGCTCCTGTTACGAAGACCTGTGCCTGCATCCCAGCAAAGCACAGTCCTTGACTCTGGTGCAGAAAGTGTCACTGAGCATCACAACAATGAAGTTTACTGTGGGCTGTCCAACTAACCTTATTGACCTCTCCCATAACCCCCAGCAGAGAGGTAAAGTTGTTGGCTCCCTACTAGTTTCCCTGCACCTATTTCTATTAATGCCTCAGGGTTGATTGACACACCTAATACTTGCACTTTCTTTTTTGTACAGGATGGCCGTAATCACCTGCGGGTCCGTGTAGAAGAACTGCTGAGCACCAGGGCTGTTGCTGCCACCCGTGATGTGAACATGACCTGCCCCAAGCCCACTGAACATGACTTAACCCCAGAGGAGACCATGCGCTACGTGCCGCAGCCGGGCCCGGTGCCTCAGCCGCAGCCGGGCCTGGTGCGCCCGGTGCCTCAGCCGCAGCCGGGCCTGGTGCGCCCGGTGCCTCAGCCGCAGCCGGGCCTGGTGCCGTACATCTATCCTCCACTAAGTAATATAGGTACGTTCTCCTGTGTCTCCACTGCTGGGATTCTGGGAAGCTGTCTTTGCACTTCACTAGGGTTACCATGTCTGAACTTTCAAAAAAGAGGATATTCCATTGGGGGGGGGGGGGAGTGCTACCCCCTCCCCCTAGCCACTCCTTCCCACTTCCCACACCCTGACTGCCCCCCACAGAACCCCCAACCCATCCAACCCCACCAGATCCCCGGGACTCCCACACCTATCCAACTGCTGCCTGTCCTCTGACTGCCCCCCCGCCCGAACCTCTGACCCATCTAACCCCCTCTGCTCCCTGTCCCTGACTGTCCCAACCCCTCTCCACATCCCTGCCCCCTGACCAGGGCTGGCTCTGGCTTTTTTGCTGCCCTAGGCAGAAAAGCCCCCTCCTCCCGCCCCGCCCGAGCACCGGGGGGAGGGTGGCGAGCCCGGCCGGGGCTCTCCCCGGCCGGCCGGAGCGCCGCCCGCCTCCAGGCGCCACCCAAGCACATGCTTGGTGGGCTGGTGCCTGGAGCCGGCCCTGCCCCTGACAGCCCCCCTGAATTCCCAACCCCCTTGCTCCTTGTCCCCTGACTGCCCCCCTTCTCCAACTCCCTGGCCCCCTACTGTGCTGCTCGGCTTAGAGCTGGTGTCTGGCTTAGGGTTACCATTTGCCCAGATTCTGCCGGACATGTCCGGCTTTTTTGAGTTAAAAATAGCATCGGGGGGAATTTGTAAATGTCCGGATTTCCCCCCCTGCAGAGCGCGCATGGCTGACAGGGCATCCGGTCGGATCGTGCCACTCGCACGGGGCTCCTGCAGCCAGTGCCCCTCCTCCCCTTCCCCCTCCTCTCCCCTGCAACTTGAGATCACTCCCCTCCTCTCTCTCCCTCCCTCCCTCTCCCTGCATTCGCAGATCGCCGGCCGGCCGTTCGCCTCGGGCCTCCGGCAGTCTGGAGCTCCTCCCCTGCTGCCCAGCCAGCTGCTCTGCAGCACTCTGTTCTGAGCGGCACGGTAAGGGGACCAGGGGGTCAGAGAAGTGGCAGGGAGGTTCTGGGCGGGGGGGTAGTAAAGAGACAGGGAGCAGGGGGGAGGGTTGGATGGGTCAGAAGTTCGGGGGGGGCTGTCTGGGGGTTGGGGTGTAAGGTTTTGGGCAGTCAGAGTACAGGTGGGGGGGTCTCAGGAGGGGGCAGTCAGGGGACAAGGAGTGGGGGGGAGGGTTGGATGGGTCAGAAGTTCGGGGGGGGCTGTCTGGGGGTTG